CCCCCGTGGGCCCCGCACCAGCCCTGACCCGGGTAGGGGGTGGGGGCTGGGAGTGACATTCTTAGTGAGGGATGATCCCTGGAAAGAGGTGGTTTTGGGGGGAAGTTCCGAGGGAGGAGGGGTCCTGGAGTGCAAGGCATGGGATGGAAAGGATCTGACAGGCGAGGCGCACTTAGAGGATTTTGTTTTAGCGGACACTCTGGGAGGAGAGAACCCTATGTGATATTTGGGGATGTGGCTAAGGGGACCTTCTAGGAATAGGTGCAGTTGTGCAGTGATCCCGGTATAGAGAGGGGTAAATGGAGAAAAGACTCCAGTAGGGATATGGAAGGGGGGAGAACAAGGCCCCAGTACAGGGGAGAAAAGGACAATCACTCTAGCCTGTAAGAAAAGGGACCTCTCTTTTGCTTCCATGAGGAGTGGACTTTGGCTGGGAAAGGAACTTGAAGTAATATGGGGGAGATTGCTGACATGGTACAGGGGAACTGAAATATACGGTATACAGACTACCTGGAGGGATGGTGCCCTGGTGTGGGAAGACCTGATGCAGGAAGGAGGGCTTGGTGTGACATGGAGAGGGTCCTTTGAAAAGCTCTGCCCTGGTTGAGAAAACCATAGTAGTAACACTTACATGGAGGTTCTCAGGTAACCTTGATGTGGCCAGGTGGTCTCCGAGGACCCTGATACAGCTTTAGGGGCCTGCAGAGGACTCTGGTAACCTCGGGATCCCAGAGAATTTATGTAGTTTGAGGGATCCTAGAGTTCTCTGGACTGGGAAAATCTACTGGGAAGAGTAGACTTGGGGTGGAGGAGTTTGCTATGGTGCCTGAGGAGATCCTGATGTTCAAGAAGACTGCAAGAGGATAGGCTCTTGTGTGAAGGCCCCTGGGGAGAGCCAGCAGTAGAAACAGGAAGAAGGAGTGAATTCTGCCCGGACTGTTTTCTTCTCTGTTCTTCCTCCCAATCACTGGTGTCTTGTCTTCCTTTCCTGTCATGGCCCTTGTCCATCCCTCCCACCCGACTCCCAATTCCTCTCTTTTACATGTTGTTTGTGCTGCCTCATTCATTTATTTGATCATCACTCGTTGAGGGACTCTTGTGCTGCTCTACCTGCCTGTGCCTTCTGCTTCCCCTCTGCATTGTTACCTATTGCTCTTTTGCACTCGGTCTTTTTCCTCGGTGCCCTGTCTGCTTTCTCATGCCTATCTCTTCGCTGCCTGCCCCTGTCCCACACATCCCTTGTTCCATGTTGTTTCCATACCTCCTGCCTACTCTCAGGTCTCAGCGGCGGTGGCAGCCGAGGTACAGGATGCGAGAAGGCGCCCCCTGGCCGGGCTCCCACTCCAGGCCTCGCGCCCCTGCGGCCCTCTGAGCCCACCATGGCCGTCCCACCAGGCCATGGGCCCTTCTCTGGCTTGCCGGGGCCCCAGGAGCACATGCAGGTAGGCATTCAGCTGACTTCTCACCTGCCTGGGGGTAGAGGGAATAGGAAATAGAAGAGTCTCAGGGCCAAAAGCTACTATGCTTGCACAGGAAAGTCTGAGGGACATCACCAGTCCTACAGAAGTACAGAAGTCTTAAGCAGAGTCACTTGGTGCAAATCCTGATTTAGTGGCAGCTAAATGACTCAAGTTCTTCATACTGCCACTTTCTGTTCTCTGAATGGGGCCAATGATGATCCCTCCTTCAGAGGGTGGTTGTCAGGATTAAACAGGTTAACGAAATACAGTACATGTAAAATGCTAGGAATGGTGCCCAGCATGAAGGAAACATCAAATGAATATTCGCCGAGAAGGACATCCAGAGTGAGGGAGTGGGAGGGAGGTTGGGCCTGAAGTCTTGGCTACAGGGCCAGGGTGGTATAGGAGGAAGAGCTCTAAGGATAGAGCTGGTGAAGCGCTGAAATGGAGAGCTTGGAGTAGGGTGCAGTGGGAGGTCCAGGCTGCCAGATCCCAGTCTAAGTGCCTTGGGAACTGGGCAGAGGTGCTCAGGGTCGGAGGTGAGGGTTGGGAAAGCCCAGAGGATGAGAGTAAATAGACTTGGGGATACGTCAGAGGGAGGATTCCCAGAATAGACAGTCTCGGAGGATTGAGGGACAGAGTCGAGGTTTCCATATGGAGGTTAGAAAAGGGGGAAAGATATGGAAAGCCCAGCACAGGGCCTGGGTGAAAAGTCAGGGGTAAATCATTCAATCCATTTCCAGGGCAGATCTCTAGTGAGTCGTCACTGTGGGCCAGCCCTTGCTCAAGGCACTGGGAATAAACAAGGGCAAGACCTCCATCCTTGCCCTTGGCTAGTTTAGTCTCATGTGGGAGCCAGTCAGTGGCCAGATAAATGTGTGCAGTCTTGATGGGCCGGCAGCCCACTTAGTTCACCCCTGGAAGTCCAAAGGTGAAGGCCTGTCCTCTTGTCCCTGGCCCCGCCCTCCCCACAGGTATTGCCTGATGTGCGACTGCTGCCTGGGAGGCTGCCCCTGGCCTTCCGGGATGCAGCCTCAGCCCCTCTGCGCAAGCTCTCTGTGGACCTCATCAAGACCTACAAGCACATCAATGAGGTGGGCAGGGGGTGGGGTCCTGGGCCAGGTGCTGGGCATCTTGCTGCTGGCCCAGGTCACTCATCAGTCCCCGTCTCCTGGCTGGTTGCCTGGTCAGGTATACTATGCGAAGAAGAAGCGGCGGGCCCAGCAGGCACCACCCCAGGACTCGAGCACCAAGAAGGAGAAGAAGGTCCTGAACCACGGTTATGATGATGACAACCATGACTACATTGTGCGCAGTGGTGAGCGCTGGCTGGAGCGCTACGAAATTGACTCTCTCATAGGCAAAGGCTCCTTTGGCCAGGTGAGGACAACCACCAGTCTGGTCCGGGGTTTGAGGGGTACAGGTACCCACTGACATTGGCTCACCCACGCAGGAGTTCAGTGACTTCAGGTTCTATACTCAGTCTCTCTTCCCAGCCTTATTACTTAGTTTCCCTGTGGTTCAGTTTCCATTTCTGTAAAAGTACAAATAACATGACACTTCACATAAGATAATCGTGTTATTTCACATCCCGTGTTCATGCCAGTGCTTGGCTGATGGTGAGCACATATTAGTAGTGTTAGTGACAATGTGACTGGTGGGTCTCCCTGCCAGAAGGAGAAGAGCAGCAACTTTCCCTGCCTGCACTGGTGATAGGCCTGACCCTTGACAGGTGGTGAAAGCCTATGATCATCAGACCCAGGAGCTGGTGGCCATCAAGATCATCAAGAACAAAAAGGCGTTCCTGAACCAGGCCCAGATTGAGCTGCGCCTGCTGGAGCTGATGAACCAGCATGACACAGAGATGAAGTACTACATAGGTGAGGCCTGGGGCAGGGGGTGCCTGACACAAAGGCCTGGGCGTAGGGATGCTCACCCTCAGTCCTGAAGGAGCAGGTTTCTTCAGGGCAGGGCTGGCTGTGTGCCTCCCTGCCCCAGAGATTCTCCCGATTCTTTCATGGTTTTTGCCCGTTCACCTGATAACAGCATTGGTCAGAGTTTATGAGTGATCTTGTAAGGTCAGGCTCTGTTGCAAGCACTTTACATAAATTACCTCCTCACAGCCCTGTGAGGAGATAACATGCTTACATGTGGAGATAAGAAACCCAGGCATTCAGTGTTGTCGCTTGAGTGAGGAGACAGTTTGTACTCAGCAGAGCTATAACTGATGAGGTTGTGGACTCTGGAGACTTGATTCTTAAAACTGTGCCAATCTTTGTCCTCTCTTACACTGAGACCTCTTTCTTATGAAAGGAAATTTTACATCCTTACTCTACTTGGAAAAAATCACTGTTCCTTGGCTTTAAATATAATTAAGATAAAAGCAGATTGAGAAAGTGTGGAAATGTATAGAAGGTCTAACAGATCTAGAAGCTAACAGAAACTTCTCTTTGGTTTAATAAGTAGGTGTGACAGACTTGAAAGAGGGCTGCTTGGGTGAATCAAGTTAGATACCATGTAGGGACACTGTGCCTAGGTACTGGGGGCATACTGTACTTTGGCCAGTGTGCAGGTAGTAGAGGCATACTTCTCTGAACCTGTCTGTCATTTGTTTCTGTCTTTTCCCTCATAGTGCACCTGAAGCGGCACTTCATGTTCCGGAACCACCTGTGCCTGGTGTTCGAGCTGCTGTCCTACAACCTGTATGACCTCCTGCGCAATACACACTTCCGTGGCGTCTCGCTGAACCTAACCCGGAAGCTGGCACAGCAGCTCTGCACAGCACTGCTCTTTCTGGCCACACCTGAACTCAGTATCATTCACTGCGACCTCAAGCCTGAGAATATCCTGCTCTGCAACCCCAAGCGCAGCGCCATCAAGATTGTGGACTTTGGCAGCTCCTGCCAGCTTGGCCAGAGGGTGCGGCTCAGACTTGGGGTTGGGGGAGAGCTCGTGGTGTGGGTATGGCCAGGTTGGGGCAGAGCCAACCAGGCCATGGGGCAGGTGAGAGCTGGCACTTGACATGGGATGTTGCTGGTACAGTTGGGAGGGGAGGGCCCGTGGATGACAGAGGCAGAGGAGCAGCCCACTGGGGAGGGCGAAGGTGAGCCTGAGGGGGAAAGGCTGATTCTGAAGCTCCAGATGTGAGCAGATGAGGTTGCTTGGGTCCAAGCCTGAGGTGCTGCTTTGCTAAGTTGTTTTTCTGTCTTCTTTAAGTTGGGGATAGAGAGGCCTTCAGCTTCACGGCTTCATGTGAGCAGGCATTAAAGTGACACTAGTGCCTTGGGTACTGCCGGCCTGTGACTGTGGTCAACAGGGGCCAGGGCTGGGAACGGAGATAGGGTTGGACCAGCCTAGCAGAGACTTCGGAGGCTGATGAACAAGATGGTGGCAGTGGCTTTAGGAAGGTTAGTGTGAGGATGTCAGAATGTGGAGATTCCATTCTTAGAGAAAGAGTCTTGACTTCAGATGGGTCCTCTTAGCTTTTGGGGTACCAGTGGGACCAATAGGAAAGGCTGGGACCCCTGACTGTCGACCTCTTTCCAGATCTACCAGTATATCCAGAGCCGCTTCTACCGCTCCCCGGAGGTGCTCCTGGGCACGCCCTACGACCTGGCCATTGACATGTGGTCCCTGGGCTGCATCCTGGTGGAGATGCACACAGGAGAGCCCCTGTTCAGCGGCTCCAATGAGGTGCGCCCCCAGGAAGGGCTGTGCTGGAGGTGGAGGGGTGGAGCCTGGCTGGCCCGGTGCCCCTGACCACCACCTGCCCGCAGGTGGACCAGATGAGCCGCATCGTGGAGGTGCTGGGGATCCCACCAGCCCCCATGCTGGAGCAGGCACCCAAGGCTCGAAAGTACTTTGAGCGGCTGCCTGGGGGTGGCTGGACCCTACGACGGACAAAGGAACTCAGGAAGGTGCGGCCCCTGCCCCATGCCACTCCTTCCACCTTGGGTGGCTCCTCACTTTCATACTTGGGGCTCCCTCTCTCCCTGCCTCCTTTCCCTGTGTCTCCCTTTCTTCCTTTTCCCTTTGTCCCTTCCTTCACCCCCTGCCCACCCCTTTGTCCTTCCCACCCTACAGTTCTTTGTTCCTCTCTCCACTTTCTCTCCTGTGCCTCTGTTTCCCCGTGTGTGTCTCCCTGCCCCTCCTGCCCACTGACGGCCACTCTCTTGCCCCCCC